GCTTCCTAAAAGGAGGTGCTTGCCTCCCACCCCTTCTCAACAGCCCCTCCTCTCCTGCACTCCCCACACCAGTGCCTCCCCCTCCCCACGGTGTCATTCTATTGCAGGCCTCCACCAGGATGGATTTCCTCTTTCCCTTTTGAGCAAGAACAGCAGCAGCTCTGGAAATTTCTGAAAAGAGCATTTTTCAAAGCACATTCTCTTAAACATTGGCCCTGAGAAATGTCCTGAGAGGGGGGGAGGATTTGGGGAGAAGCCACATACTCTGCTTGGCTGTTCCCAGTGCACACCAGAGTGATGTAGACACTGAAAAGTCCTGCTATGTTTCCCAAATTGCCCTTCACCTTCACAACACTGGTTCCACTTGTGAAAATGCACTCCAAGGCTGGAGGGGAAACTGAGGTTCAGGAAGGACACCTTCTTCCAGGAGGGCACACACTGGCCAGCAGGAAACCCCCTTCTCTGCACATTGTGTAGCATGGAGCCCCTCCCCATGCTCTGAGTTCTCTGTGACTGCACCTCCTCCACCTGCCGTATTCCCTGACTCACTCCACAACCCCAGAATGAGCTTGTCCTGGAAGTTTCAAGGGCAAAAACAAGACCAGTACGGGGACAGCTACAGGGAGACAGGAATGAATTGTTTATAAGAATGTTCCACTTATGCAGAGCTGCTCGGACTGCAGGAGCTTCCTGCTGCTGTAGCCTCTCCTATCTTTCAGTTCTAGGACAGCAGGAATGCACGCAGGGAAAACAAGCTCCTTCCAGGGGCAAACCCCTGTGATGGCACCCAGGGCGCTTTAGCACACAGATGTGCTTACCTGTCTGGCTTCCCAGTGGATTGGAGCACAAGGAAGACGGTTCATCTGTGAATCTGTCCCTGGTGCACACATGTCTGGCCCATAGTGGGAACTAGATGCAGATTTATTGAATAAGTGAGATTTAGGTCAGTGGCTGTTGCAGGTTGAGCTCCCTGGGAAGCAGGCTCTGAGCTGGGGGATTAGTGGGGGGTGTTCATTAGGGGATGTTCTCAGGATCCACACCTGCAGAAAAGAGACGTAAGCAGACATGGGCCGCGGGAGAGATCCGGCTGTGATGTAGTCACATGAGGCCTCAGCTGGCTTCATGGAGAGTGCTGGATTTGGTGGCCCTTCAGAGGTGTCCTGAGCTTAGGCAACGTGGTCAGTCAGTGGATGGGCATGTCCCCAGGGAGGGGAGTGACTTTGACAGTTCAGCTCTCTTTAGCTGAGTCCACACCTGGACAGGGCTGACCCTGGGGGATTCTTAGCAGACAGCCTTCCCAGCAGATGGAGGAAAATGTCCTCTGGTTCTACGGGAGAGGCATGCACCCCCCAACAGGTCGTGACAGCCCCATACCGCCAACCTTTCCCCCACAGCTTTGCCACACATTTCTCTGCACCCTCCTTCTCCCCCCAGACTCTCTGCCCAGGCCAGCTCCTGCCTTCCCTCCTTCCAGGCTCCCTTAGAGCAGGCCAGGGGCTCCTCCAAGGGACAGACCTGGCCTGGGGAGCTGGAACAAAATGTGGTCGCCTCCCTGTTCAACCTGGTACTCCAGGAGCATGGAGCAAAGACAGGCCCAGGTTCCCCCCCCAAGATGCACACCTGCACTCCCCTTGGCTATGTACCTTCCGTATGCAGGGACATTCGAGACGCCCCACCAGGTCCTGATCTCCGGCCTTTGGAGCCTAATTCTCAGTGCTTCTTGTGCCTGCACCTTTATCCCTGAAGCCGCCCGTCCCTCCCGACCTCGCCTGCTGTCCATGCCGCGTAGCCCGGCAGCCCGCTCTGAGCAAGGAGGGCAGACCCCCAACCCCATGCGGTCGTCACTGAGCTGTGGACCAGTGGGGTTTGGGGGACCACTAGCTCATGTCTCCAGGACATGAATAGTTATGTGCAACTATGTAGGGTCTCCTGTCTCTGAGCATCAGTTTTCTCATCTGTAAAGGAGATGGAGAGAGGCTCAGAAGAGGCGCTGGATAACAGTTTGTGGGGCAAACAAGTGAGTGCACAGTGCTGGTGACACAGCTTGGTGATGCTGCTTGAGGACACCAGCCTGCGAGTGTCAGGCCAGGGCTGGGATTGGAGCGAGTGGACAGCGTCGTGGTAAGAACAGGGCACAGCGCAGCAGGCCCTCCGCCCATCACTCAATCACTGGGTGACTTTGCAAACCGACCCACCTCGAGCTACTCATTCCATCTCTGTGAAGCCAGAATGGTAACCTCCACCTCGGGGCACGTCCTTTCCAGGGTCAAATTAGGCAGAGTGTGCAAAGCACAGCCCACTCAGCACACGTGCGTTTTTGTTCTCACTGTTATGATCAGTCCTGCTGCACTCCGTGTCCACACATCTTTTCACCACCCCGTACAGCCTGCCCAGTCCCCTCTGGGATGGATATTCTCCGCATCCTTTCACGAGGAGACTTGCTGCGATCTGGTCCTCTTGGCTCAGTCCGCTGCTTTACTTGGAGTCTGAGCTGCTCCCTCCCGCGTGGGGCCCTCTGAGGGGCCAGTGAGGCTCCCCGGGGGGGACATGGATTGCTCAGCCAGCGGCTTTCCCCTGCTATTCTCTGAACTGACTGGTGGCCCCATTAGTGAAACAACCCAGCCTCCCCCAGCAGGAGAGCACACTGGGCATGGGAGGTGGCCTGGAGCTGCAGGGGTACCCAGCTCTAATGGAAGGGGATGGCAGTCCGAAACATTGTCCATTAGCAGTGTCTGCTGTGACCCAGCGGCTCCCCACAGAGCACATCCTGCCATCCCCAGGGTCCTGCCTTGCAGATGGTGGGCATTTCTTCCTCCCAGGATTCCTCATTAGCGCTGATGGAGTCTCTCGTGCCTCAGAGGGCTTGGCTGCAAGGCTCGAGGGGCCTTCTCCACAGGCTGGTGAGGAGAGAGGAAGGGGCGCTGACTGGGCAGTGGGCTGGTCGCCCAGAGAGTAACTGTCGGTTAATACACAGTGACGTGGGCTTCACTGGCCCCGGCCGTGGGGTGGACATGCAGTAGCAGGAGCCTCAGCTGGTGGTGATGCATGGAATTGGGGAGTGGACAGCTCCATGGGTCGGGGGTTGGCAGCGGTTGGGAGGAATCTGTTCAGTTCCAAACAGGGCCCCAGTCAGCGAGAGAGGGGAAACAAAAGGCCAGCTCTCGGGTGGGGTATGTACGGGAACTAGGGTATCAGGAATTCTGACACAAGAGCTGGAAAGACCCACGGGTGAGGGAGGGAGGAGGTCTCACCTCAGCACAAGGCTGGGGAAAATAGCAGTAAGATCTTTGAGAATCACTATTCCAATTGCAGAATTCCACTGCTTAAAAACTTCCGATGTCTGCCCACGACCCTCAGTGCCTGGCAGGTTCTCCTCCCTACCTTACATCACCCCTTCCTCCGCCCTGTTTTCTACCCACTGCTAGCTCCTCTCAGTTCCACCAAAATGCTGCCAAGTCTTGCCCCACCCCAGGGCCTTTGCATATGCTGCTCGATCTGGCAGGAAAGCTCTAGCTGCCCAGGCTTAGATACCAGCCCCCTTTCTCATACTTCTCAGTGTTGACCTAAATATCAACTCCTGGGAAGGACCATCCCTGCCCCTCATCTAAAATTACCCAGACTACTGCATTCTTCTCTATTTTAGCATCCGGTTTTGTCTCCTATAAGCCTCTTATCATAATTTACACTAATTTTGCTTACTTGTTTGTTATCTGTCTCTCCCTCCACTTGAAAAACTCCAGGAGGGCAGGGCCCACCTCTCTTTCACTCCCCATTATCTCCAGCCCCAAACGCTCAGGAAGCCTCCATAGTGTCAGCTGTTATTGCTACTCTTTTCTGCCTGTTACCTATAGACCTGCAATAATACCACTTGAATGCTGCATGCATATCAAGACGTACTCCAGGCCCCACTAACTGGGGGGCTGTGACCCCAGATTGCTGCAGGCCCTGGGCGAGCAGGGGACGCCTCGCTGCCCGCGCCTACCGCTGTGGTCCTTTCAGGAGGCCGTCTCGTCCCAAGGCAGTGGGCGTGCAAGCCCTGACCCGGGATCCCTCGGTTCCATCCTGCCTCTTCCGGGCTCGCCTGGCTGCTGGAGTCAGGCGGCTATTTCCCCCCAGCACACACTGTCATCTCTTCACCGTGAACTGTATTTAAAATGTAAATAAAAAAAGGCTTTTAGGAGATTTAACTGTTTCCCTTGGTATTTAAATTATTCAATTATAACTAAAGCTATTAAAATACAGTTAATTAAAATTGTTAGATTGTTTTCCTTTGCACTGATCACAGCATTGCCCGACTTCTCCCTCTAGCTGTTTAATTCCTATTAAAAATGATAATGCCTCACTTTATTCATAAATGCAGCCACCTCCCCGCACATTCTTCAAGCGATCCCCTCAATGCAAACCGCGCCGTGTTCTTTTCTTCTAGCAGTGAGGCGGAAATTCTGCTGTCGTCTTTAGAGGTTTAATCAGCAGTAAAAGGACTCAAAATTTAAACATTAGCATTACTGAGTCACAACAAATAATGCAGCCTCCTGTAAAAAACTGTCTAATTTGGATGCAACGTAATGTCATTAGAGACCAAAGGAGAACCCTGAGGTTTAATAAAAGGTGGGACCTTAGTAAAGGTTTCATAACTCACAACATAAAATTACCGGATCCACACGTTAAATATTTTATTTGAAAGGTTTCACGGCATTCCTAGTGGGAATAGCTCTGCAGTGAAAGTACAGATGGGTAAGTGCTGTTGGAACAAGGGGGAAAATGGAAGACAGAAAAGAAGGATCTAGGTCCAGCTTGTATCTCTTGTGGTTTGGCATGTTTAAGGTGACACACTCCGAGAAACTAATTGGTTATAGTATTTAAACTCCCAGGCCATGTGTTCACACAACAATGATGGCTGTTCCAGGTATCGGTGGGCAAGGTGGCAGAGGCACTGAACTTTCTGGAACGTGGCAGGTGCCACCTCTGGCATTTGGAGTGACTTTGTGGACCATGTGGGTGGCAGTGGGGGTGAGTCTTCCCAGTCCCCAAATGCAGAAAGAGAGGGTGCAGTGCAGAAATCAGCTCAATTCAGCTGACGGTGACTAAGCGACTACGACCTTCCATGTGCTAAGCCAGGTATGTGCAATAGCGCCCTGCCCTTCAGGAGTTCACAGCCCACCACAGCCCTCATAGGTAGCATGTGGGATACGAGTTCAGACAGTGCCGGCCCCAATTAATTCTTCCTGCAGTGACGAAGAAGGCTACCTGGCAGGCTTGATGCCTAGGCTGGCTGCGAAGGTCTCCACTGGCCAAGAGAGTGAAGTGTGAGAGAACATTAAGGGAGAGGGGCAGAAAGGAGTTGGTGAGTCTGGGACACTGGGACATTGGTTAGCTCTGGAGCACAGGCTGTGTAGAAGATGTGGTGGAAAACCTTAATTTAGGAACTTAATCAAGAAAGGCCTTGAACATAAGTCTTAGAAGTTTTGACTTCGTTCTGAAAGTTGCTGACAACCTGAGAACCAACCAAAGCCAGTCAAAGACTTATGCTGGTCACAGAACTGGGTACAGAACTGGGTACTTGGAAGGCACTTGATTGTTGAGTAAATGGATGATATCTGAGAATTAGGGCCTGCTGCATCCTGTTTATCTGTGGAAAAATTCCAGATTTGGCTACTGAACTGGTGGATGCTCCATCTGAAGGGCGTTCTCTGCCAATTAGAGCCATTGGGCTGATACCTTGGTCCATAAGTGCCCTGAGCTCTCATTTTCGGGCTCTCATCTTCAACCTTGGCCCATTCACTCCCATGCTCTCTGCTGGGGACTTGGCCCTTCACCTTGGGCTGCAGAGCGGCAGTCACTGAGCTTCCCAGGCTTACTGCATATTCCTCTTCACCCCAAGAGGCACAGTGCCCCAGAGAAGTTGGAGAGAAAATGGCACAGTGATAACATCAACACCACTAGTCATTTGGGAAATGCAAATAAACCCACAATGAGATACCACCACAAGTCCACTACAATGTCTCTAATAAAAAAAATACTAGCAATGCCAGGTCAGTCAATACCCAGGCAAGGATGTGGGGAAACTGAACCCTGCACATACTCTGGTGGTCCAGTCATTTCGGAAAGCAGTTAACACACATCTACTATGTGGTCTAGCCATTCTGTTGAAATGAAAGCATAGGTCCATACAAAGACCTGTACACAAAATCTTCCTAGCAGCTTTATTAATATTAGCCAAAAACTGAAAAGAAATCAAGTGTCTGTCAGCAGGGGAACACATGAACTCTGGTATGCCCATTCAATGGAATACTACTCATCCATAAAAAGGAATGGAACCATCTCTGTATGCTATAACATGAATGAGTCTCAAAATAATGATACAGAATAAAAGAAGCCAGGCCAAAAAAAGTACATACGATACCATTTATATAGAATTGTAGGAAATGCAAACTAGTCTATAGCAACAGAAAGCACTTGCCTGGGACTGAGGGTAGGGGTGGGCAAGGGTGATAGGGTTAGTTACAAAGGAGCAGGAGGACATTTGGGGCGTGATGGCATGCTCACTTTCTTCACAATGTAATGGCTTCATGGACGTACACATATGTCAAAACTTACCAAAGCATCCACTTTAAATGTGTGCCATTCATGTATAGAAAGTATACCTCATTAAAGCTGCTGCTGCAAAAAAGGGAAAGAGCCAGGACTTGGGAGTTTTCTTTTATACAGTTTTATCTTTGACATAGTTTTAAATGTACAGAGTGGCAAGAAGAGTCAGGGATCCCCACACACCCATCACCAGATTCTCCACTTGCTACATTTTGCCTCATTCTCTTCAAAATTCTCTCTTTTTCCTGAACTAGTTGAGAGTAAGTTGAGACATCATTGCCTTTTACTCTTAAACAACCTAGTGTTATTTCCTAAGAACAAGAATATCTACATTTCCACAGTAGAGTTATCAGAATCAGAAAATTTAACATCAATACTGAACTTTATTTTTATCTGGATTCCATATTCAAATGTCACCAATTGTCCCCATAACATGCTTTAGAGCTGTCTTCCCTGCACCCCAGGATCCATTCCAGGATCATGTAGCACATTTGGCTGTCAGGTCTCTTGCCCCCTCTGACCTGAGCTCTCGTCCTGACTCCATCACTTCCTTGTCCTGTGACCTTGGCATTCACACCTGCAGCCCCTGATCTGTACAGTGAGCTCAGCACTGACATCCAGCCCCTGGGGCTTGGAGGGAGCTGATTAGAGGGCGTCTGGACAGTGTCTAGCACAGGGCTGTGCCCGAGAAGGGAGTGGGATTATAGATAAAGCAGCCCAATGCTCGGAGCCATTGTCCTGGACCCTCTGCAAATACTCATGGTGCCCAGGCTGACTCCAGCTCAGACAGGGCCCTGGCAGCCCACTCCCCTGCCCAGCCTCTCTCCACCCACCCCTTCTGTCACCAAGATCGTCATGCTTACCCAGACCAATGGACACTTCTGAGCGGCTCATCAAAGGCAGCCTTCCTACAGCAAGGGAGGCAAGAGGGTTACAATTATGACTTTTCAAAAGCTCAACTGATGACACCTTCCTTCTTAGATTTGAAAAAATTGCTTCTTTCCTCTCCCTTTACCCTTCCTAATGCATATTACTCAACTCTTCATGAAGTTGTCTCAACAGTGAAGGTGCCCCCGATCTGGGACTGTCTCTGGTCTCCTGTTGTGCCCTCTCAGAGCCCCTCCCACGTTGAAATACATGGCCTGCCTCCCTGGCACCAATGACTAAACCAGGATAGGCAGAGCTAAGGCCTGCAGCCCATGAGGTGTCCTAGGGTGAAAGCTATGCCCATTTGGGGAAATGGTGGTTAATTAAACCATCAGGTCATCTCTCCTGGGCAGTTTAAATGTGAGAAGAGAGCTGGCTGGTTGGCACATGTAAGGGAAATGGAAAGACCACCAATGAGATGGGCCCAGGACAGCCCAGGTGGCAGAGCCATGAGCTAAAGGAAGCTGTGTGCGGGCTTGAGATGGAGACCAGGGAGGGGAAGGGAATGGATGCCCTGGAGGCAGCTAGAGGACAGTGCAGAGACTAAGAAGATCTGAGAGGGGCCAGGGTGAGACGCAGGGTGGGGGGCCCACAAGGGATGGTAAAGGATGAGGAGCCCCCTGTCCCCCTGTTCACTGTGGCCTTGCTAGGGCTTTCCCTGTATTCTTACATTCATGCTTGTATTAATCTCCTAGAGCTAAAATACCAACAAATTGTGTGGCTGAAAACAGCTGAGATTTATCCCCTCAAAGCTCTAGAGGTCAGAAGTCTGAAATCGGGGTGTTGGTGGGGCTGGATTCTTCTGGAGGCTCTGAGAGAGATTCCATTTCAGGCCTCTCTCCTGCAATCCTTGGTGTTCCTTGGCTTGTAGACACGTAACTCCAAGCCCTGCCTCTGTCCTCACCGGGATCTTCACATGGCCTTCTCTTCAGTGTCTCTGTGTCTCTTCTCCTTTCTCTCTCTTGTGAGGACACCTGCCATTGGATTGAGCTCGTCGCAGTATCCTTACACTAATTACATCTACAAAGATCTTTATTCCTAGTCATATCCCATTCTGAGGTCCCAGGTGGGGTGGGGGTGGGGGAGTTGGCACCCAGTCACTGGTTGAGGGAATAAAAAGTCTGATCTCCACCAGGCTCCCTGGATCCCTACTATAAAACTGTAACGCATGATCTTGCCTGGATGAGTGGCCATTCTTTGCAACCCTGAGAACGTTGCTTTTTAGAATGACAAGTTCTCATGGGAAGCAGGAGTCATGGGCTCTTCCATGGATGGAAGGGTCTCTGGTGGCCTCTGAGCCTCACTCTCTCAGACCTAGACTCTCCAACAGCCCCGCTCATCCAAGGCTGCTGAGCTGCTGGTGGAGAGGCTGTGGGGGGAGGAAGAGGGGTTGACAGAAATGAAGTGTAGTTCTGGAAATAGAAGAGTGGTTTGTGAGCTGTGAATGGTGCTGAGACCCCAAAGCAAGCAGAGAAGCCGGGAGGGATTGTGGCAGGAGAGAGGCCCAAACTGGGCTTCTTACCAGGTAAATGGTACTCAATCCATCTTCTTGACCTTTCTGAGCTCCAGTGTCCTCACCGGTCAACTTAATTTCACCAGTGTCATTTGAGCACCTACAGGTACAGAACCATGTTGGGGATATGGTGGTAAGAAGACACGAACCCCAGGCGTGATGAGCTCCCAGTGTGGGGGAGGAGGCAGGTGCATGAAGAACCAAGGAGATCATCAGGTGGTAAGGGCTGAGACTGCGCTTGGTACAAGCACCATGGAAACACTGGCAGCCAGGTGGGCAGAGGCCCTGAAGTAGGTGATGCTGAGCTGGGTCTTAAAGGAAGCAGAAGACAGGGGAGGCCAGGGGTACAGGCTGAGGTCATGGCCTGAGCAGAGGTATGGCCCCGGCAGTGTATTCAGAAAGCACACCATTGCCTCGACTGGCTGGAGGGCTGGAGGGTGGAGCTGGTGGGACCTAGTGCGAAGGAATTGCGGGGCAAGGTAGCAATCCTTGAGCGCACAGGAGGTGGGACTTTAGTCTGTACCTGGGGGGGGAGGCTTTGAAGTCAACTGTAGAATGAACGAATTTGCAGGGCAGAGAGATCACGCAGTCAGCAAGAGGGGACAGGACAGGAGCTCAAGGGCGACGGGTGGAAGGGAGCAGGGAGAGGGCGAGAAGCGACTGTGACATCCTCAAGGGAGATGAAAGGGCAGTGGCAGTGCGACTGAGAAGGAGTGAGCGAAGGGGCGCCTGAGAGGCAGCGCGGGGCTTGGCGACCTCACATCAGCCGCTTCTCGCTCCTCCGGGGTCACAGGGATAATGGATGGGAGGCGCCCTGGAAACCGTGGAGCGGGCCCTGCGTGGTGGCTGGTTGCAGCCGGATCCCGTTTAGGCTTTCAGGAAGCCGAGCCTCTCTCCTCCCCCGGCTCATCTCTGGTGCTTTCTTTTGCCTGTAAGCAAGGGAGAGAGGGGAGGTGAAAAACAGAGACATTAAGTGCCAAAGCTTATGTTAATACAGCATTAAGGTTGAAAATGTAATCTCCTAGGAGTCAGGAAATTCCGAACCAGGCGTTTCCATGGCAACCCAGCCACACTGTTCCTCTGTCCGTTTGGGCCCTGTTTTCCTTGTTAAATATGATCCCATCGTATATTATATTTTATTGAGCTAAATGTGTTACCCACAGCATGCAGAGCTGCAGTCAGCAGCACAGAGCTGCAGGAAGTGTGTGTGTGTGTGTGTGTGTGTGTGTGTGTGTGTGTGTCTGCCTTCAGAATCTGCCTGATACAACACAGCCACGTCTTGGGTCCTTGTATCTAATAAAAGGAATGAAATTAAATGAGCAAGGGTGCTGCAATCCTTGTGTTCAGAAGGGGCCAGTCAGGGTGTCCCCCTCCTGGGTCCCTCATAGGCCCTCTCTCAGCACCCTTCGGACCCTAAGGGCAGGGCCGGCACTGCCACCCTGGGCTCCCTCCTGGGTGGAGTTCTGAGGGGGTGGATTGGAATTACCTGGTCCAGTGGCTCTTCACACGCGCAGCCAATTGAAGCTCATCTGTCACTGTTCGTTAGCATCCCAGGGCGCACTGGGCACCAGCAAGCAGATGCGGAAAGGAAATTCGATTCTCCTTCCAGCCCGCTCTCCCACCAAGCCGCACAATGGACAATAGGCCTCCTCTGCGGCAGCGGGGCTGTGAGGGAGGCGTGGAGGGAGATGGGCTGTCAGGGAGGGCCCTCGGTAGTGGAATGTGTGACAGAGAAACATCTGTAGGTTAATGTGGTGGAAAGAGCGTGGAATGTTAGAATCAGGCTGCCCGGGACTCGGCTGTCTCCCAGCCATGTGTCTTCAGCAAGTCTCTTAACTTCCCTTTGTCTTAGTTTTTTCATCTGCAAAAATTGGGATAAAATTACCATTAACCTCACACAGGCTTGTTGAAGGATTAAATGGGATAATTGATGCAAAAGCTCACTGTAAACTTCTAAATCCCTATACAAATGTCATTCTTCCAGGGAGCTCTAGAAAACCATACCGGATTCCAGACTTGCGCAGTGGGTGCTAGATATTCTGTGGTTGGCTGGAGAATTCTACAGTGGGTTCCAGAATTAATGGACAGATCTAGAACAGGGGTTGGCAAATTCTTTTCTATAAGGGGTCAGATAGTATTTACTATATTTTCTGTTTTAGGCTCTGGGAGCCATGCTGTGACTACTCAATTCTGCTGTTATAGCTCTAAAGAAATGAATGTCCATGGCTATGTGCCAATAAAACTTTATTTACAAAACCAGGAGGTGAGCTGAATCTGGCCTGTGAGATGTCCTTTGCCAGCCCCTGGTCTACAATTGCCTAAGCAGGAAACCATGCTCTTTGGGGGAATGCTGCTTTTCCACTCAGAATTTAATTCTCCCCCTCTCCTCCTCTATCCCTTGCCCCTCCCACCTCCCTCACACACATACCTCTCTTTGGTCTGGCCAACTTCTTTGCCTTCCAGAATCAGTGAGAGTCACCACATCCAAGAGCAAATTACAAGTCTCTTGGGTCCTGTCTGCTTCGCTGACAGGCTATGAGCCCCTTCTGGCAGCCAATTGTCTCACCCCAGGGCCTAGGCTCGGTGGATGTTTGCAGAGCAGATATATGAAAAACACAACATGCCAGGGACCTAGGCCATGGCCATTCTCTCAGGAGGTGAACTGGGGCAGTTTCAAACATCTTAAGTCTGGCATCTTAAGTTTCAAACATCATGTGAACTGGGGCAGTTTCAAACATCTTAAGTCTGGCATCAATCCTCTAATTGTGAGCTGCTCAGTCAGACCTTCTAGAACAATCAGAGGGCAGGATCGCCTTTGTAGACACAGGCCAACGTGGGTGACCACCTCAGTTGCCCAGGGGCCAACCCTCTCTCTTTACAGACATCCCTGGGCACAGGCCAGACTGGCAGGAGCCAGTCTGCGGGAAGGCGACACTCTGCAGCCACCCCTCTGATAGGTACTCCGGTCACCGAGAGCACACAGGTTTGTGTTCGTGACAGCGCAGCAGCTCCTCACACTGCCCTCAGGGAGACTCTACCCGCCTGGACAAGTGACATGGTAACGTGGAAGGTTCCAGAAGTGCAGAGCCCTTTCGGCTTTCACATTTTCAAGCTTCCCTTGTCCTCCACCTCCCGGGCAGAGCAGACAGCGGATTGGAGTTGTGTAACTCGCCTCTGAGTCACACTCCCCCAGCACAGCTTTGCTGTCTGCCCGACAGAGCCCATCGTCCTCAGGACAGCCAGACAGGCTACCATTATTCAAAAGTCAGGGCCAGCGATGGGCTCTTCTGCACCCAGCCCACCAGCTAAGAAGTCACTTTTCTGTACAGCAGGTTGGGAAAGGGATCTGTGTGTGGTGGGCATATGTAGCGGGGTTCATGGGACATGCAATGCCCATGTACGTATTCACATCGTAGCATGCATGTGTCCTCAGTGTAGGCTCATGTGCTGTAGAGCTGTGTGTTCTGGGCACATGTGTGTGCTGGTGCACGTGTTTGTGTGTGTGAGAGGCTGTGTTGTTCCTAAAACTGCCTGGGAGTGTCTGCCCGTTGGCATGTGCTTTGTCTGGGTCTGTGTGTCTTTAATTTAGGACTCTGCTTCTCCTGCAGGACCTGAGAGCTTCCATCCTCTGGCCTCCGCTGATGAATATTTTATTACCCTGCTTTTGCTACAGTGTTAGGCAGTTTTCCTGTGAAAAGCCAGAGCATGACACACTCCAGGGAGGCGGAGATGGGGGCTCTGATGTTGGAGCCCCGGAAAGCAAATCACTGCCATACCCCACGACGAAGGCCAGGGAGGGCTCCCAGATGCCGCTTGTTAGTGTCATTAGGGACTGATGAGTCAGCCCCTTTTTTCCACCTCCCCTGACAGAGTTCTCTCTAAATATGAAGCGGGCACACCCTTTTTACAGGAGATTAAGGGAGCTCCCTGCTGTTCCTCCTGAAGCCAGACTAAAGCTGTTTAATTTTTTCCCAACTGCCTGACCCTCCCATCCATGAAGATGCTTGTCCTGGGAGCAGGAGGTCACTGTGTAACCCAGACGGTGAGTGGAAGGTCCTGGCTTCTCCCCACACCCTGAGAATGTGGGCGAGGCAGCCAGGCTGAGGGAGAGGTAAGAACAGGAACGCTGGAGCCAAGAGGCCGTGGGGACAGCGTGCTCCAGCGGTCAGGGCCCCAGCCCCCAAGCCTAAGGGTACTGTACCGTAGCTGGACTCTCCAGGAGCCGACTCTGCGACAAGGATTTGGGGGCAAGTAATTTATCTGGGAGGTGATCCCAGCCTGGGAGCATTGCAGGGACATGGGAAACAAGGCAGTGAAAAAAGTTGAGCAAATAAAGGACATATTGTAGATTTTTGTCTACAGCTCATTCCTCTTGGGGACCACCAGGGGAGGACACGCCTAAGGGCTGCCCCACTGAGGAACTGAGATGTGTACCCACCTACTCTTACTCACTGGTCGAGGGTTGCCTGCCCTCTGGGCAAAACTGGCACCCTCTGCTATAGACCCTGGGAAGGCCAGGGGCAAATGAGCTCTGCCGTGCCCCAAAGAGGTGGGTAGCCTAGCCCACAGCTCTGAGTGGCAGGTGTAACCCAGGCCTCTGGACTGCCCTCCATCCCCCTACCCCTCCATGACTCGGTGGCTATAGAAGTTCTCCTGGCTGTTCTCTCCAGAAGAAGCCTCGAGGACAGGAGTCCTGCTCTGGGCACTGGGGCTGGGCCTGTGTGGGGCAGGGGCTGCTGGGCAACCGTTGGCTGTGAGCTGAGTTGCTGGGATGGGGGGCAGAGTGGGCCGTACCTGAGGCTTCCAGAGCCCTGGAGCCAGATGCATCAGTCGTTGAGTCTCTCACTGCCCAGATCATGACTGCATGCTGACCGCCTGGCGCGGGGAGTCAGAATGAGTGGGACAGAGGGGCTTCGAACCAGGTGATGGAGATAAACAGGGTGGTGTGAATAAAACAGAAACCCTCCTGCATCTCCCCAGCCACCTGCCCTCTTCCCACCCCTGAATCCCATTAGCTCTTTATCGGTACCTCTCTTCTAGTTCTTCAACTAAACTGCTCTTAGCTGCTGTTAAACTCTATCTGGAATGCTAATAAAATCATAATTATAATGATTGCTGAGCCCCTGCTTTACATCAGGCCTTGTGCTCAGCTCTCATTAGTTTATATAATCTCCACAACAATGCAATAAATTAGGTACTACTATCTGTGTTTTACAGAGAAAGAAACTGAGGTTCCAAAACATTCTGGCTCTCGCCTCAGGCTGCCCTGCTCAGAGGGACAGAGGTTTGCCTGACTCGGTGCCTGTGGAGAGGGTCTTCACACAGCCACCTACTTCCTGTTGGTCTGTGAGCAACTTTAGGATGGGGACTCACCCATCTGTCCCCCAACTCCCCACAGAGCCTATAACCTTGTCTGCAATGAGTGGCTCTCGAGTGGTGACCCCTTTAATCTCTTGGTCTATATAACTGGGAATCGCTGAGTGACTTGTGCCTTGGCAACAGGAGTTGGAAGGGCCTGTGACCAGGCCACCATCAGGCTCCGAGCCACCCAGACCTCCCAAACGGGCCTCTCTCAGAGAAGAGGGTGGCTCTGCCTCAGTGGACACAGGCAGGCACTGGAGTCAGACAGC